ATATGGCAGAAGTCAACACTAAACCAACCAGTTTTGGAGGAAAGTGATCGATTAGAAACTGAGCCCTTGAGCAGGTTAAATGTAAATTATCATGGACCATAGTCATTGATAAACTCTGCAATAGCAAATGATAAACTGGAAGCCCTTGAAGAGACATGCTCCCCATGGATCACATACAAATCCAGAGCAGAAACAGTAGTGGTCAAGTCCTCAAAAGAGGCCCCATGCAGGTATACCATAACCTACCTCCACCCTTTTTACTTCTTTCTTTGAATTTTCCTACCTTCTCTTTCCTTTCTCTTCACTTTTTGACTCTGTGGGTCACAAAATGCGGTAATGATATATAACTAGGTTCATCTCTGGCTCACTGAGCCGAGAAACAACTGCTTTGTATATATGTTTCATGTGCATTCACAGCTGTCTGTGCAAGCCATCGACGACAACCCTTAATTATAAAAGGTACAGCATTTTGTCTTGTTTTCCCTTGAAACCAATAAAACTTAGTCTTAACAAAAGATTCAGGTGATCCGGCTTACCAGTTTGATGGAAACGCAGGATGCTAGCCCAGGGCAGTCCAGCAGTCTGTTACAAAAAAAGTTTGATAAATAAAATTGGTGAAAGCCTCCATTCACCACTATACTGTGCCATTTCAAGTGTGGGCCTCTACATCCACTTGGGTGAAGCTAGCTAGGAACCTGAGTTCCTTTCCATCCTCTTATTTAGGTGGGAACTTCTTGAGGAAGGGGGTACTTTTGTTCCCCGCAATGCTTGGCTCTGGTTCCCGTCTTATTTTGCAACAGAGTGTTTGGCAATCTGTTTGCCTATTAATCCTTTACACAGGTCTCTTTTGTTGTATATAGGCATGTTATGCTGTTACTTCAGTGCTGGCCAAATCCCAGGAGCCAGGTAACCAATGATTCTTCATAATTACATCTGACGCCTGAATTTTGACGTTTTCTCTAGTTGTCAGTGGAACTGGCTCCTAAAACCCTGCTTGCTCCTGGATTGTACAGACTGGTGTCTGACTTCCATATTATTTGCCCCCCTTGTGTTAATGCACTTTGAGAATATATTCTTGTTATGTAATTCAAATATATGCTATCTGCAGCAAATACTGATTTATCCTGCATGTTAATAAAGCTTTTCTAAAACAGGGTGGCTTCAGAGTTTATCAAGGTGCCTTCAAATTTTCACTTGCATTTCCATGTGCAGGCGATCCGGCTTACCAGTGTGATGAAAACGCAGGATGCTAGCCCAGGGCAGTCCAGCAGTCTATTACAGCTGCACTGTGGTGAAGATCATTAAGGGGGACTCAGATGGGATTTACATTATTTACAATATAGACTGGGTGCCTTGAGATTTTGCATACTTTTAAATTGTGCCGTGACTGAATAAAGGTTGGGAAATGCGTTCTAACTTTTACACTCACCAAACTGTGCACATCCATGCGGACATGCGCATATCTATGACCACCTTAACACTTATTTTAAATCGGACATAAATGAAGCGTCTCATATAACTGATCCGTTAAGCTAAGCCTTCAACAATACTAGGAATTTAAAAACAAGTTGATCTGAAGCCTTCATTCACAATATTCCCCTGGCAGAGCGCGCTACCTGCTGCCGTTTTGCCACCTGTCACTTAGCTCACCCACAGTGTCAGCACAAGCCGCCTCTCTGTGACAATACACAGTTCTATTTGTGGAGCACACCTTCATACCCAGCATGGGAACGGTGGCATCTGTCCTCATTAATGAAAGTGCAAAGCAGCTCATGTGGCCATCAGTGAAAACACCTCCCGCACATAGAAGTGAATGGAAATAAAACATTGAAGCTTAGAGTCGGTGGTATCTATGAAGCCCCCCCCCTTTCTTGGAGCCATGACCGTGAGGGCAGAGCAGGGCGCCCCTGTGCAGGTGTCTGCGTGATGTGACGGAGATCACACTGTGAATGGACACAGGTATTTTATGAATGGAATAGGGAGGTCACATGACACCAGAGCCTCCCTGCTCTGATATTTCCCACATAGCTGTGTCAACAAGAAAGGGAGGGAGTGAGGAGGGATTGCTAAAACAGGGAAGGAAATACTGACACAAAAAGGAAACTGGCAATCACAGCCATTCCCATACTGTAACATTGTTACATTCCAGTGTGTAAAAGCAGCGTGTGTCCAGTATAAAGGGCGCTGTTAGCGAGCAGCGACAATTATATGTGTGTGTGTGACATGGTGAACAAATCTGTATAGTAGAATAGCCCATCCCACCTCTTTTCAGTCTCACCAAGTCTCCCCTCCTCCCCTTTTCCTTGTCACCGCAGCCTCAATCTCCTTGCCCCCAATTTATTCATAATTTCCTGTCGTTGCCCCCATTCACAATGTCGCAGCACGTAAAAGGTAATATTGCCAGGCGGCGTTTTATGAATGGGATCCTGCTATGCAAATGAGGGCAATTCACAAAAACAGGAGCACAACATGGCGGCTTCAAGAACTGAACACACAGAGAACAAACAGCCCCGGCTAACACAGCGCAGGCTGACACTACGGGGCACAAAGCAGCACCCACATAGTGCACAGCAAACATGCAAGGCCATCCCAATCCGCACACGGCTCCAACGCACATTGATCAGCCAAAAGAAAGAGGATGACGGGTGTGGGAGCTAAAGTGTTTAGTGACTAAACCCCAAGCATGGGAAGGAAAGGCAAACAGACATTTCCAGCACAAATCCATTATCTGTAGCACATTAGAGAGCAGTCTGAATCAACCACAGCAACATTGCAACACAAAACACAACATCAAAATAAAGTACACAGTATTCTACAGAATATATGTCAATGCAAAACACAACATAAACTAAACCGCATTCTACGGAATATATTTCAATGCAAAACATAACAAAGTAAACAGAATTCTACAGAATACATGTCAATTGTCAATATAAAACACAGAATAAAAGTATTTTACAAAATACAACATAAACACAACATCAACTAAACCGTATTCTACAGAATATATGCCAATGTAAAACTGAAAATAAAATTATTCTACAGAACACATGTCAATATAAAACACAACATAAACTAAACTGTATCCTATGGAATATAGGTCAATGTAAAACACAAAATAAAAGTATTCTACAGAATACAACATAAAATAAACAGTATTCTACGGAATACATTTCAATGCAAAACACAACATAAAAATGAAATAAACAGAATTATACAAAATGCAATACAAATATACAATTTCTAATACAAATTGAGATAAATTAAACAGTATATAATAAAATATTAATTTTTTTTAAAAGAAGAAAAAAAACATTGCTATACTTTTTAACACAAAATAAATTAATAGAATATATTTCATCACAAATCAGGACAATACAGAAAAACACAGCCCAAAAAAAACAAATACCAAAGGATTGAAATCCCTCACATAAGTAGTAAATTGATTCCTTTTACACACAACTTAGAACTCTACATAGCTACTTTAAGCGGTAGATTGCCTGTTGAACAATCGCACTAATTGGTGGACAGTTGTGGGCAGAAACGGTCGCCCGATAGCACATTGTTCTTTATTTCTAGCCAAATAAATTCCACAGCACATACAAAGCAATCTCTTAGGATATGACGCAAAATATCCACACAGATGTTTAACGTTTGATCACGTTCTATGTGCACGGTTATTTATTTCAGTCCACATACAACAACATATGTTTACGACTTTCCGTACAATAAAATCCCATTTATCAATAGAAGAGCCTGAGACAAACTATTCCTCAAGGCAGGCTCTTCAAACCACCGGTCTACATGTTACCAGAGTGAAGAACCAAGATGTGCAATGTAGTATGACTGGATGAGTCACCAAGCCCCCAGCAACATGCCACGGAGAACACAACATGCACATATGAACCTTTCCTATGACGACCAGAAACATGCGTCCTAATTCTATAACAGACTGATATATGCATATTGCTATTAAATACGTAGTAGACCGCTGTTTGGTATAGATCGTCATCAAGCCCAAAAATAAGTTTGCTACAGCCAGAAAAATAAAAACCTGGGCAATACAAATTTTTTGCAGAACCATCAGCACAATCATGGCACCTTGGCACCAATCTTGTGTGTTATGTTCCCAAAGTTCATATGGAGCAATTCAGCAATTTCAGGCCTAAAACCCAACTTGGGTCCGCATGAATGTGAATGGATTCTGAATTCTCCAGATGTCACTTGTATCTGATCCTCCTGCCACCTTCTTCAGAAGAGTAAGGAGTGCCATATCTCTCCTGTGTGTACTACTTTTTGGTAATGTTGGCTCATTTGCACTATCGGTGCCCATGCCATTACCTACACCTGGACTCAATACATTGCAATCCATTAACGGAACGGCTAATTAAAAAAAACAAAATTCCTAGCCAGCAGGTTAAACTTCTGATTGCTGCCAACAGGGTGCAATCTGAATCGATTCACCCAACACCTACTGAAAGAACCACTTTCCCATTTTGTGCATGGGTGATGAGACATGGACAGGTCAGGTGGAAAGTTCCTTTAAACATGCCATCTTGACAAGTGTAAACCCCCATGCAAAGGGCACAAAAGCAATAATGTGATGTCATTCAAGACTAAAATCATGCCACCTCTTCAAGTGTAGAACACAGTATTGGGGGGCCACAATCCCATGATGGCAAACTGCTACAGCTATGCAAAAATCTCAATGACCCCAGCAGAGGTCCTGGGTTGACAAATCAATGACCTGAATCCATTCTACAATGTCTTGTGTCACTCATGCCAAGTTCTGTGCCACTTTAGCCATACAACTAGATATTACAGCTTTGCTGTACACAGCCCAGGATACACGGGCTGTCCTCCGATGTGCATTGCATGCATTGGAAGTGTGAGGTCACAACATACACACATGGCATGGATGTGGAGGACAATATCCAGGCAATAGGCACCTATGTGTGCAGACATATAAAGACGCCCTGTCATACACAGGTGATACTCACTCTGGCTCCTGCTCGCTGCTCATTGTCTCCCCCCCTCACCGGAGCTGGCTGCGCACGGCTGGAGCGCTGGGAGTCTCCCGGGAGAGCCGCATGGTGATCCGAGGTGGGGGGGGGAGGGGGGGGGGGGAGAGGAAGACTGAGCTATGCTATGGGATAGGCTATGTGTACAGGGACAGGCTATGTTCACATGTACAGGAACAGGCTATGTGTACAGGGACAGACTATGTTCACCTGCACAGGGACCGGCTATGATCACATGTTGAAGGACAGGCTATTATTGCATGGACAGAGACAGGCTATTATTGCATGGACAGAGACAGGCTATTATTGCATGGACAGAGACAGGCTGTGATCACATGTTCAGGGACAGTCTATGATCACATATACAGGGACTGGATATGTACACATGTATAGGGACAGGCTATGATCACATGTACAGGGACAGACTATAATCACATGTACAGGGACAGGCTATGATCACATGTACGGGAACATGCTATGATCACATATACAGGGACTGGATATGTACACTTGTATAGGGACAGGCTATGATCACATGTACAGGGACAGACTATAATCACATGTACAGGGACATGATATGATTACATGTACAGGAGACAGGATATAATCACATGTACAGGGACAGGCTATGATCACATGTACGGGAACATGCTATGATCACATGTTCAGGGACAGGATGTGTACACTTGTATAGGGACAGGCTATGATCATATGTACAGGGACAGACTATAATCACATGTACAGGGACATGATACGATTACATGTACAGGAGATAGGAAATAATCACATGTACAGGGACGGGCTATGATCAAATGTACGGGAACATGCTATAATCACAAGTACAGAGACAGGCTATGATCACATGTACAGGAACAGGATATAATCACATGTACGGGGACAGGCTATGATCACATGTAAAGGGGACAGGATATAATCACATGTATGGGAGCAGGCTATGATCACAGGGACAGGCTATGATCACAGGGACAGGCTATGATCACATGTACAGGGACAGGCTATGCTTTCATGTAAAGGGATGGGTTATATTCACATGTACTTGTACAGGAACGGGTTATGCTTACATGTACAGGGACATGCAATGTTCAAATGTACAGGGACGGGCTATGCTCACATGTACAGGGCAGGCTATGATCACATGTACAGGGAAAGGCTATTTTTTACATGTACAGGGAAAGGCTATTTTTTACATGTACAGAGATGTGCTATGTGCACATGTATAGGGCCTGACATTTTTCAGATGTACAGGGACAGGCAATGTTCACATACTGTATACAGGGGCATGCTGTGCTCACAAATACAGAGGCTGGTTCTGCTCTCATGCTGCCTGGCTAAGAACACATTTCCTACACTAGAATGTGCTACTACAAATGCATGTTTCATATTCATAGGAGATAGTGAGTGAACTGTACTTCAATAGTAATATACTGAACATACTGAATTCAATAGTTAATTATGGATCATAAGAATGTAAATAGTAGTACATTTTGTGTGCCAGTTTGCATGGATAGGTGTTTGTATCTGTGTTCCACACCTCTCAACCTTCTGAGATGTGGGAGAGGGCACATCTTTTACATAGCTCCTAACTGTCCCTAATGGACACCAAATCCCCTGTCCTTTACTGCTCTCTTGTTGGTCTATAGCACCCAACAGTCCCTCCTTTAGAAGCAAATCCCAGTGATCCTGCCATGAAGGTCCTTTTGCAGGCACTCCTGGAGGTTCGTTTTA